GCTGCTGCTGCTGCTGCTGCTGCTGCTGCTGCTGCTGCTTGTGCTGCTGCTGCTGCTGCTGCTGCTGCTGCTGACTTCAGTTGCTGTCTTCTGTGCTGCTTCTGCTGCTGTCGCTGGTGGTGTCAGTCTTGCTGCTGCATTAGGAGCAGCAGCAGCTGCTGCTGCTACCTTGTACTTTCACGTGTGCAGCAGCAGGAGCAGCAGCTGCTGCTACTGCCTCAGTGAATCCTCGCATGCATCCGTTTTGCTGCTGCGGACCCTGGAGTGCGTGCTTGCTGCACCTGTTGTTGCTGCTGCTGCTGCTGCTTGTTTGCTGCTGCAGATTGCTACAGACTGCAGCTCAGCGGCTCTGGGGAGCAGCTGGAAAGAGGTTTGCTGCTGCTGCGGCTGTCACTGCAGCAGAAGCATGGTCCACTGGTCTGGTCAATTCCCCCGGGTGTAAGCTGCTACCACTGCTGCTGCTGTTGCTGCTGCTGCTGTTGCTGCTGCTGGGGCCTGCCTGCTGTTGCTGCTGCAGTTTGCACTTTTCAGCCGCTGCAGCAGCAACAGCAGCAGCAGCAGCGCTGCAAAGCTGCAGGAGTACCAGAAACTGCTGCTTCAGCAGGAGCTATTGCAGCAGCAGCAGCAGCAAAGTGCGCGTTGTGTTGCTTGTCTTGCTGCAGTCTCCTCCCCGCCGCGACCTGACCGTGCTGCTGCTCCCTGCTGCTGCTGCTGCTGCTGCTGCAGTAGCAGGGGGCCCCGCCTTGAGGCGTTTATATTCTCAGTGGAAAACAATGAGCTTTCTGCTCGACCAAGACGCGCCGCTGGTGCTGCAGCTGCCGCAGCAGCAGCAGCAGCAGCAGCAGCAAGCGGGCACGGCGCAAGACCCCAAGCAGTCGCCACAGGCTCAAGAACCCTTCAGGCAGATGCTCATATTTGGAGAGCCGTACGTCCTGCTGCTGCAGCTGCTGCTGCTGCTGGTGCTGCTGCCGCAGCTGCTGCTGCTGCAGCTACCGTTGCTGCCACCGTTGCTGCTACTCCTGCTGCTGCTGCCGCTGCTGGTATTTCGGGCTTCTTTGTAGCTGTTTTGGTCGTGCTGCTGCTGCTTCATCTGTTTCTGTACTTCGCCCGTCGCATCACCTGCGCAACTGCTGCTGCTGCTGCTGCCACTGCTGCTGCTGCTGTTGCTGCTGCAGG